CAATTGGCTGCCCACAAAATATACAGTCGATTCACTTTACACTATATGATTCACTTTACAGTTTCTTTGAAGCGCTTTGAGGTGTCTCGAAGATGTGATAAGGCACTATGTCAAATGCAGGGATTATTATTATATTATTATACTATATATTTGATTATTATACTTTATATAACGTTAGAACACCCCAAAAATGCCCATGTTTTTTTCTGTTGCTACTTTGTTGCAGAATATATTAGTACCTCTCCAGAATGGTGTGTGATTTCCTCTCTCACTACTTTATTGCATGCATTCCTCATATTTTGGGGCTTATTTAAAGCATTTTTTAAATATAGCTCATCAACGATAGGATATCCCTGCAAAATACTATATCGATGACACACGCATGCAAGAACTTTCCGATGAGGTATAAATCATGGTCTCTATGTAAATCGGTTATTGGCAGATATGCAGATACACACACACACAGACATTGTTGTTTTATTAGTATAGATATCTGAACTGTGGTTTCATGACTGTTCACTACTATGTTATTATAAATAAAATAATGGTCATAAGCACACATGGTTTAAGATTTGGTGTAGTCTTTATTTCAGAATAAGCAAATATCACAAAAGTGGAATGTGATTTTGTTGTTTTACAGACTCTCATAAACATAATTTATTTACAAAGTGGAAACTGAGATAAATTTTCTCCATTCCCAGAATAGTTTTTAAATAGGTTGTCACAGTGTTAGCATAGATTTCTAGATCTGTGACAATATTATATGGCAAATATCAATATAGCTGTAAATTTGCAGTTTGGGAAAGCATGATTGCAGAAGGTATATCCAAACTACCAGCAGTTGATGCCATGGTAACATCCAGATAACAGCACTAATGAAATATTAACAAAATAATAGATTTTCAGTTCTAAAAAGTCAGAAGCTGGAAATATAGACCACACTTGAGAAGTTATTGAGATCCAGGCTGCAGTACTTACCAATCAATTTTAATTTCAAATCGTATTGACAATGTGAAAACAAGATTAAAAAAAATCTGAAGTGAAGCAAAATTTCCAATGGGGGATACTAAAATAACTTCCATACAAAATAGTAAATAAATAACAACACTTCAGTTGTATATTATTCAATGCAACACCTATACAATTAGAAAATCTAATTGGTAACCTATTAAATGTCTTAATAATTAGTTGTGGAAACTACATTGATTCTTGGCCTTCACAAAGAAAGAGAAACGCTTAGAGAGAAAAACAGTAAGAATTAATCAATTATATTAAAAACAGTAGAAACTAAAGGCGGGAGACAGACAACATAGTGGTACTGTGATGGCTGGTAACCAGACTTTGCAGTTAAACAACAACAAACTTGTTCATGTCTAGGCTGAAATTCCAGTGCAGTGTTAGGTGGAGTGCTGGATTTTCATTGGTGCTGTCCTTCAGATAAAACATTTAAGTAAAATAAAACATACATTTTAAATATAGTTGTGCTTATGTACAATATTTGTTTTCTGAATCTCAAAATGTTTGAATATTCATTTTTCTTCCATCGTTTAGTGAATACTCTTTCGAACTCTTCCTCCTGTTACAACCCTCGAACATCGATTACCTTTGATTTTAAGTGTTATTACATGCAATATCAAAAATGTAGTCACAATGACCATTTGAACCCAAGTTCTCATTCTGTCCATTATATTCTGAAGGCTATTTTATTTGCCATATAATAGTGTCATGTATTTTATTTGCCATTATATTTGCCACATAATAGTGGCACAGATCTAGAAATCTATGCTAACACCGTGACAACCTATTTAAAAACAGTTCTGGGAATGGATTGGAGAAAATGAATCTCAGCTATATACTAGTACCAACCCTTTATTTCAGTTACAGTGAAGTAAATTTATCAGGGAAGGAATGAGTAAGATTATTTTATTGCTTCATGTTGGACTGAACATTGTGCAGATTTATGAGGAAGTATCTTACCACAAAACAGAAACATTAATTATAAAGCCAAAACATTGGATTAGATTTCAATACGTGTAATTGAAGTGACTTTTTCTTCCAGCTTACTTAAAAGGCATTTAAAGTATTTATTTGAAAAGAGTTTATATAATATTTATTTGAAAAACAATGTTTATATTCACCAAGTTTAAGCAAGTGTCTGACATGGTTGGTTTGTTATTGTATTCCGAATGGTACATTCAAATCCATATTTTCGAGAATGACAGATACTACTCAGTATCCTTTAAATGGAGCTCGCCTTGTGCTCAACATTAGCATAGTTCTGCCTGTAGTCTATGATGAAAATTAAGCAGCTCAATAATTATCCTAATTGAAGTCTGTAAGATTGCTCCTTTGATATTGCACTCATTAAATCTCCCAGGCATTCAACCATGAACAGAAAAACAGTCCAACATGAACCACCATAAACAGATGATATCATTAAGTTTCAGGACAATAACACATTTCAATTCTGCATGTTCCTTTGTGACTGATAATTTAGCAGTATTTTTAAAACGACAAGGTTTTATTTGCAAGAGTCAGCAAACTGCTTGTTAACCAGTTAATCCTTTATAGACCCAGATGTCTAGGAAACCAATTTTTAGACACTCAGGTGATGTCCTGGAGCATCATCACATTGTTTAGATTGAGAAATGACAGCTTTGACTGCAGTTTCAGTGGGTGGGCTTCTGACACATCCTGGTGAGCGTGAGATTAACAAGATACGATTCAATTAGAGAATTGCGCAAATTAAACCAAAATATATGAAACAGATTATGAGGGATATTTATCAAACATTAGCTTTCAGAATACGATGGACAGAATGAGAACTTGGGTTCAAATGGTCATTGTGGCTACATTCTTGATATTGCATGTAATAACATTTAAAATCAAAGGTAATCGATGTTCAAAGATTGTAACAGGAGGAAGAGTTCTAGGGAGTATTAACTAAAATATGGAAGAAAATTGATCATTCAAATGTTTTGCAATGCATAAAGCAAATATTGTATTTATGTGGAAAATAGGAATCTTTTAGGTGGTAATTAGAAATTCTGATAAGAGTATTCAGTGGCTGTGATACACTTGAGATTTTAGAAAACATCCATAAGGTATTTATTTTTCATTCACCCATAGCTAGAAAATCAGTCTGGTACACTGAAAAACCACGCAAATCATCAAATGTTGACATATATGGAAAAGCTGAACAGCATTTTTAAACCATCACTTTTGAAATGATGAAAATATTAATTTCAGATATCAATAAATGGCTATATTTTAGATCATCTAATTTAAATTTTAAGTTGCTGCATTTCTTTTGGAAAAGTATCTAACACCATTCATTTCCAGTATCAAACATTCAGCATTTACAATATCTATTTTATGGTCTTACATGAGTTGTGGAAGACAGGGTTAGTTTTATGTAGATTTTTAATACAAAACTATGTGTTTAAAACAAGCTGTGATGTGATAAACAGTGGATAAAAAATAACATTATACCTACTTCAACTAAAAAAATCCAGATTTTTTAAAAAAGATATTCATTGCAACATAAAAGGCTATTTTCAGCAACGATGTAGGCAGCAACATTTTATTTTTTATTTAAAAATGCACCTTTGAGATGCATTTACTTAAAAAATCTGATTGAAGCATTTATTTGATAGATCTCTTATAATCCTAGAAATAACAACATCTCTCTGGATGAAAAGGTCTCAGGTGGTCAATGCAGCAATGAATCAGTGCAATTAAGTCCTAGTACAACACTGTTCTTTGTGTTGGTTAACATTAGAAACCCAAAATACTACTAGAGCACCACTAGAGCTGTTTTGATCCGAGTTGCTGCTAGAACAGTGAGATTAAAAATGACAACATGAAAAGCATAGTAAATTTCAAAAACTTGCTATTGTTTGAGGTGGGGGAGGGCTAAAAAAATCTCTTACTTTGCTTTGAATATGTATACGAATGGGATCCAGTCTTCTTGTAAGCTCTGCCAGAAAATAGCCCCAGGAATTCTACCAATTTGTTTGCTAAACTGGTGGTTGATATATGGCTTTGGTCTCAGGACAGAAAGTTCCACACACAATTCACATCCTCGACATGAACATCAAGGTCATCTCGATGAAGAACACTCTTCAAATTGTTGCAACAAAAACAGTGACTATACAATTGGCTCCAGCTACCGATATATTTCCACCAGCCACTTGGCACGAGAGAGCAGCATTGAATCCTTATTGAATAATATACTGCAAACTTATTACTGAGTAGTTATACACAGAAACCAATTCTGTCCATGGTCAGTGTTATGTTTAGTCAGATTATTTAAGGTTATTATACGTTTGGTTAGCATGTCGCATGATTGCAAATAAATATATTAAGAGTGGATGGTTAACAAACTATTAAGATTACCTTAGAGTAGGGCTCATGATGTATTTGACCATTTACTAACATATATGGGTATCAATAAGTTATGTGCTTTAAGTGATTTAAAATATAATTTGCTTTCTAACTGTAAGACCACAGAATCAGCTTTGGTTAGCAAGACAGGATGGACCGGTTGGCACCAATTGCTATCAGTGTGTGAAACAATGAACAGAGCTAAATAATCAGTCAAAGTAACGGTTGAGGCATTTCCAAGGTCCAACATGTCGCAGAGAACGAAGAGGCTAGAATGAGGAGATTAGGTTAGAGTGGGAGGATTACTGCAAGGCACAGAGTGGAGGATGGAATGTCTGAGAACCATTCTCCGATGTGCGCAACATAAACAAGACACAACAGTCAAGAGAAGACCTGGGAGCTATTTCACTGTTGCTGCTATTGAACTCCTAGAACAGGTAATATGATTTCAGTTCTGTCAAGATAGGCAATAGAGGCATTTGCAATATTCAGCTTAGAAATAGTTGGTCCAAGCGAGCGTAGAAACTGGGATAGCATGAGTGTGATGGGGATTTAATTATCAGTTGAACCTAAGGGTTTCCTGACACTTTCCAAGGCTGATTTCTGCTGTGTCTTTGTCTGTTCTGCATGTATGTTGATTAATAAGTGTCATGTGATTATTGTATTACTAGCGTTATGACGTTTTCTAATTTTGTGCTTTCAAAACATTTTTAAGTTTAATAAACATTATACAACAACAACAAGATTCCATTTATAAAGCGCCTTTCACGTCAGGAGGACGTCCCAAGGCGCTGCACAGTTGGGTCATGACCCGAGCAGGGGGGAAATGGTCAGGGTGAGGGGAGGGAGCGAGAAGGGGGAAGAGAGTCGAGAGGGGAGCTGAAGGCTCGGTCAAAGAGAAAGGTTTTGAGACCGGCCTTGAAGGAGGAGAGGGAGGAAGCGGCGAAGGCACTGGGGGATAGAGTTCCAGAGCCTCGGGGCTGAGAGGCTGAAGGCCCGACCACCAATGGTAGGGCGATTGGGGCGGGGGACGTGGAGCAGACCGGAGCCGGAGGAACGGAGGGTATGGGCAGGTAGGTAGGGGGATAGTAGGTTGGAGAGGTAGGAGGGAGCGAGGCCGTGAATGGCCTTGTAGGTGAGGATGAGGATCTTGAAATCAAATATATTATAATAATTCTTGAATCTGATATAGCGCTTTTCATGTCTTCTAGACGTCTCAAAGCGCTACACAGAATATGCTGTAAAGTGAATTGACCGCATATTTGTGAGCGCAATACGGCAGCCAATTGCGCACAGCAGTTGTTATACTCTTCCACCATGGATTGTATTGTTTACAAATTGGTGAGCCAGTCAGGTGGGTGTGTATCCCGAGCCATTGTGATCGATTGATCAAGCCGGAAGCCCATAGGATAAACTGCTCTTAAAATAACCTGGACAAAGTTAATTGGTTGGGGTATAGGTTTATTATGAAATTATGAAACTAATCTGGTCAGAGAATTTTTCTTTCAGTTCTGTGTGTGTTAAGATAAGTTATTGCTGTTTTACTGTTCTGTCTGTTGTCTGGTGTATCTGTATAAGGGATATAGTGTAGCTGATGTGTCTTATTTCAGTAATGTTCAAAGCCAGCAGGCAAGGATAGAGGGAACCTCCACTGAAATAATATTTAAAATTTCTGTGGCCATACTATTTGTTAATCATATTATTGTTAATGATGTGCTGTAATTACAGATGCTAATATTAGTTGAAAGGATTGATGTGGTGGCTGAGGTAAAAGGGAATCGTGAAGATTCTGATGGTGATAGTGGGCTGTGTTGTCAGCTTGACCCACTCGAGGTGGGGACTGGACATTTCGCAATCCCAGAATTCTAGTTTGTCTTAAGTTGACCAAAAAGAATATCGCAAAGACTCCTGGACTTGTTTTGCTGAAATAGAACTGATTCTATTGACTCTCAAGGACATTGGTAACATCAGTACATTAAACTGCAAAGAACAAAAGGAGTGTATCGACCTGACCTACGTGACTAAAAAGGTCTAACTTTGGAAACAAAGACAAGTCTAACCGATCTTAAGAAGAGATATTCTACAATCAACATTGATCGAACCACGTTAACAAGTCGATTCCTAATCACAGCCACTGTATTAATCTGATTCATTAATTGCACTGAACTTTATTACTCATTCTTAAGCATTTGTGATTGCCCAAGCCATAATTACAATGATTGTCTCTTTGTGTTATTTGCGCTCCTACTTGGGCTACCCAAGTGCAATCTAACCATTTACAGTTAGCTTGCTTAATAAATCATAGATAAATGAGAGATCGGGGGACTGTTGAAATATACTGACTATCACCTCGGGATACATTGGCATATTTCAAACGCAACCGAATGTTCCGGGAGGTTTGATAGTTAAATGATTAAAAGTAGCTTTTCTGGACTTGAGGTTAGCTTCCGATTACATTTCAGATTTTCCTGTAAAAATGTTCACTCCTCTGAGATAATGGGCAATCGAGTCCTTGAACATAGATGTAAGAACAATGGACCACAGAAAGAAAAGGCTACAGACACCTGCCTTTCTCAAGGTTGAGAAACAAGCAAGCTGTGGAAGGCTGCCTAGAAGTTGTCCATATCTTTCTCCTTATCAGATATTTTCTGATGCGAAAAGGGCCTGCTGAAAGATCGCTAGCAGCCTGCGAAGGGTGGGGGCTATCTCTGTGACAAGGGGAGGTGGAGTTAGAAACACATAAAAGAAAGATGTAACTTTCGAATAGTTGTAGAGTTGTGCAGAGGGTCAGTGCACTTCCCAGTGGAATCTATATTGATTCTACTGTATCTTTGTATATGTACAGGGATGAGGGAATTTACCTCCAGTAAGAAAGTGACCATTAAAAGTGAAAGAGGAGAAGTGGTGGGTAATATGTTTTTGGTTCTGTTTGCTAGCCATAGAAGTAGTAACAGTAGTAGTGGTTGGTCCGTTTGTAACACAGAAGTCAGATTAGACAGTACGAGTGATGTGCTGGGCTAAGAGCTGATTGTTGCTGTTGGGTTTCAGGACCCACTCTCTGTGATTTTGTGTGATAGTTCTGTGATGCCTCCAATGTATGTCAAGGTGTGCTCCCAGGTCTACTGTTTAGTCTGGAGAACGAAACAGGGCCTGGATACATGTTGTCGTCCCTATATCGTCAGTACTAAGGGCTGCAAGATACTGTGAGGATCAGCTATATCTGAGGGGCAATTCCAGAAGCTGAACTCTGTACCGGTGCCGGTTAAAAGACACTATTGGGGATTGTCTGTCTTCCGAAGTTTTGTGTTACTGAATCAGTTGTCCCTGAGGGTTTTCCAGGGGCTGATCTCTGCTGTGTCTTTTGAAGGGTGTTGTTTGTCTGGAGTCCTGAGCAACCTCAAGTACATGCTGTGTGGTAAATGTTTTGCTCACATAGATGTGTTGTACTGTTATTGTGTCGTTATATGTAGTATAATTTGATTACAGATTGTTACGAATTGTTAAACCTTATGTTTCATCTTATGCAATAAACTCTATACTCTTACCACCGCCTGTCGAATTATTAAGTCAGTGATCAGCTGATATTGCAATAAAAGAACAGAAAAACCCCATTAAAAGCTAAAGGTGATTCCAGTCCTTCCCAATTTGAGAAGTTGATAATAAACAAATAGGAATCTGAGCTGCTTTAAACTATAATAACTTGCATTTACATGGCGCCTTCACACAGGGTAGCATCTCAGAGCGCTAAACAGTGGCAGAGCCTGATGCCCACCTAGGGGTTGCAAGGAGGCGACCATAAGCATACCACCAACAAAATGACATTTGTATAGTGCCTTTCATGTCAGGAGAATGTCCCAAGGTGCTGGACAATCAGTGTTTTGGACCCGAGCTGGGCTTCGACAGGAAGCCAGTAGGGTCGGGCGAGGATGGGGCTGATAGAGCCTGGTGCAGGAGAGGACACGGGCTGCAGAGTTCTGGATGATCTGCAGGCTATGGAGGGAGGAGTTGGGGAAGCTGACAAGCAATGAATTTACAGTCAAGCATCGATGTAATAAAAGTGTGTATGAGGGTTTCGGCGGCTAGCGATGTGAGACAGTGGTGGAGCCGGGCGATATTGCGGAGTTGGGGAAAGGCAGAGTGGGTCATGGCACAGATGTGGGGTAGAAAGGATAGTTGAGGGTCAAATAAGATGCTAAGTTTCCGGACTGGCTTAGCAAGGTGGAGTGTGCCACCATGGATGGTGATGCTGTCAGTGCCTGAGGTGTGGAAGGGCTGATGGGAGCCAATCAGAAGGGCCTCGGTCTTGTTGATGTTCAATCATAGGAAGTCTCATCCAGAACTTGATGTTTGAGACATTCTATCTGGACAGCAGTGGTCCTGGAATCAAGGATGGAAGCAGAGAGGTAGAGTTGGGTGTCATCTGCATACATGTGGAAGTTGACCCCATGTCTGCGGATGATGTTACCAACAGGGAGCATATAGATATTGATAAGGAGGGGACCAAGGGCAGAGCCCTGAGGAACTCCGCATGAGATGGTGCAGGGGCTAGAGTACAATCCGTTTGTGGAGATGAAGTGGAGACAGTAGGTTGAGAGGAGAGGCGGTGGAGGAGGATAGAGTGGTCAACAGTATCAAAGGCGGCAGAGAGGTCAAGGGGGACGAAGAGGCAGAGGGAGCCCTGGTCGCAGATGAAATGACAAAATGACAAAACGTCATTTGTCACTTTGACAGCATCACCATCCATGGTTGCACACTCCACCTTACTGTTTCTGTGCTGTGGTTCGTGAAGGGAGTGGTGGGAGAGGAAGGAGCGGACCGACGACTCATTCCAGGACCTTGGAAAAGTGAGGTTGGAGATGGGACGGTAGTTTGATTGCAGGGATGAGTCCAGGAAGGGTTTTTAAGGATAGGAGTGATGATGGCTGTTTTTAGAGGGGTGGGATTGGGAGGAGGGAGGAGGCAACCATAAGCACAGTCGAAGAGGAAGGGTTTCAGTTGTGATCTAAAAGAGGGAAAGGAGGGGGCAAGATGGAGGGATTTGGGGAAGAGTTCCAAAGCTTCAGGTGTAGTGGCTGAAAGTGTGGCTGCCGATGGTGGAGTGGAGGGGACGAGGTACAAGCAGGAAGCCAGAGCTAGCCGGGTGGAGGCATTGGTTAATTGAGTGGGGAGAAAGCAGGTCAGAAAGGGAGATGCTAGTGCATTCAGGGATTTGTAAACGAGCGAGAGGTTCTTGAAATCGATCCATTCATTGATAGAGAAACAGTGGAACCTGGTGTCATGGGGTGAGAATACAGCCGAATACATACCAACTATTGGTATCAAGAGATTCGGTTGCACATGGTGCCAACCAACACCTGTGGGTTACACATACAGGCAGCAGGGAACACAACTGCATAAGTTCCTGCTCCAATCATCGTTAATGGTGCAGAAGCTATCAAGGAACAAACTTAATTATAGTACAGAATCTCCTTTACAAAACCACAAGAATGTTTATGGAAGCTTGAATCAAAGAGATTACTGATATCTTAGAATGTATTAATGAAGCTGTCCAGCTATTGTGGATAATAACCTGGAGAACAACTAACTGACAAAAAATTTCACAAAATTGTTCATGGAAAACAACTGGTATATTAAATCAGAAAAAAATGTCATCTTGTATGAGGCAATGCAACTTCAGCATTCCAGAATATATTATGTTCAACTAGGTTTTTTTTTATTGTGCAATAGAAGAGGCTTACAATTCATTCAGGTCAATTCATAATTGGTTAATAATAAGCATGCAAATTAACAGCAACTTAATGGTAAACTAAACCTTTCAGTTAATCAAATTGCCATTAGTGAATACAAGTGAGGTGATGAAATAAATAGCCATTGTCCCAGATTTTAAACAACCAGTTAATCCAGTACATCTTCTGGAAGATTGTAGGAAGTCAACTATCTGTATTTCTGCAGAATTCATTCATGAAATTCCTTTTGTTCTTAACTTGGTCAACAAAATTTCATTTTTACGACATTCCTATAAATTAAAGCAAATCACATGTCAAAAATACATTCTAATGTAGAAAATAAAATTGAGATTTATCCTTCTATTTTTAACTGAAGGATGCCTGGGAGCTTGAAAAAGCAAATCCATTTATCCATCTGGTCAAATCTATCTTCAATGTTTTTCTGAAAGCAACAAAACAAGAACCTAAAATTGGAGAAGTCAGTTTTTTGTGCACTTAAGGTTAAATTAATAAATAATTGTGTTCACTTGTATCATTGCATGATGCAATTTCTTCTTTTCTTAGTTTTATCCACTTTAAGCACTCCCTGCCAAATCCTTTGTTCAGATGAACAGAAGAAATGTAGGCAGCAATCTTCTCTCCACACAAGGACAACCTCACTTTTAATTCACTGTCTCTACAGATACATACAAATGCTATGCCCCATAGTACTTTTTTCTATAATACACCATTTTAGGTGGACCTTAGAATTTTTTTCTTAAAACTGGAAAATTTATGATTAAAACAAATCTACTCTATCACCCCCTGAAAGAACACTTCTTAAATCACAAGGTCACCAAGAGCAATTTTTAAAAAAACAAATCCTCTCATCAGATTGTATAGTAATGGTATAGTCACCTCTTTAAATTCTTTCACAGTTTTGAAGTAAAGACGTTGTTTTTCCAGCAGCTCAAGGTATTCATCATTCAGCTGGTCACGTCTCATTTTGTTCTCTTGTTTCTTCTTCTCCAGCTTGGGAAGAGAAGTCAGATAATGGGTTTAAAATGATTAGCTATTTGTTCTACAGAAACCAATTTATATTTTGCAGCACATTCATTATTTGTAAAAGGAACAAATTAATAAAGATTTTACAAATGTAAAACACATGCTGCCATGTTGAAGAGTGGGAACCTGTCTTAGCAACAGAAAGTTGTAAACCCTGGACTTGAAGGTAACCATTTTTCAAAACACAAAATCCGAAGCTGCTATTTAATGAAGGATGTTTTCAACAACTAAAGCAATGCAATAGTAGAAATATTTATTCCAAGATTAACCCATTTGTGACTACATCAGAGATGTCATATCCTAATTGTACACAGAGAATGTATTTGTTTTAAAGCAAAGCATATTATTTTAAATGAAAGGTGTCAATGCAAGACTGGGTAAACTTTTACTTATGATAAATTTTATCCAAAACATTTTTTGTATTCATCAAGAATATGAACTTGAAAATTGGAAGGTACATTGGGGCTGTCATTTAAATCCGCAGTAATTCCCGATGACCTTAAATGATATAATTTAAGACGTTGATACAAAATTGTTTTTAATATATAAATAAGTGTATGTAAAAATATCATGATCAAAGGTAGAAACTGAAAAATCAGCTAAATATGTAGAAAATAAAATCTTCAGTAGCATTTTTCTGGTAATGCACATGCCATGAATATAAATAAACTGTTTTAACATACTTTGGAAGAAAAAGCTGACAATATAAAGCTGTATTTACCTGCATCAGCCACTGGGTGGCATCTGAAGTTCAAACAGTTTACAATTGGGACATATTTTCTGAATCTAGATTCACTTATTGAAATAATATAAAAACCAGTAGAGCAGAAAGCTACTTTCAAAAGACAAATTTTACGCTAGTTCATTTTAAAATGAAACTTTTTTTTATCAGTATTTCTTCCACTTAGTAGATTTTCATCAGATGCTTCTTGGCAACAGCATGCATCAAACAAGTTCCCATCGATGAATTTCATTATTGTAGTACAATCCTTAGCCTATCCATAATTCACAGGCATCTAGAAAACACCTAATTTCCACTACATTAGACACCTAATTTGCCTTCAGCGAACCTTATTCAGTAGATTATTATGTGCTTCGTTATAGTGCGGATTCACTCAAAGCACAATTCACCTTCCAAAATCCAAAAGTACACAAAAAGTCAGCTGGCTCACTTCAAAACCTAAACTGGCTTCCTGTGTGCGTGCACAATGAATGCAAAGGCACTGACCAGCAATTCTGCCTGGTTCTAACACTGGCTGGGACTTTACATACTCCCTCGCCCCAACCCCCAACTACTGTTTTTATAATGGGGTTCTCCTGTATTAGGATCTACCTCCACATGAGTCAGTAGAATCACATGAACCTTTGTAGTATTGCAAAATCATTGATTTTTAAATGGTTGGACTGTGCTGAAATGACATTTTTGTGTGCACCATACTGTCAGATGTCCATTCAATGGGTCTATAGGAGGAATACATCTATGTCCACTCATTTGCTCATTAAATTAATCATACTTTATCCATAGAAAACCATAATTATAAAACATGGGTTTAAAGGACTTAACATTAAGAGGTGCAATGTATCTTGCATCTTTAGTGTCTGTTTTTATTTGGTCATGTAGCGCACACATCTGGATAGCTGTCAAAATGTCAGAGACGTTGATCCCTCTCTTGTAACAATAGTATATGGCCATTGATTTCAAAAATCAGGGTTTGCAGTATTCATTCTTGTAATCTCTGTCTCCTTGTATGTTATCACTAGTTTATCATCCCAGATGTGCCAGAGCAACTCTGAATTAGATATTCATGCTTCAGTTTTATACATCTTACAAAGAGATTGGTTCATACATCATGCATTTCTGTGACAACAGACATCTGGATGACAGTGATGCTAGTGCAGGTTTATTCTACTTTTATGACTCAATTTATCTTTTATTTGCCAAGTGTAATGTTTGAAAATGATATACTGGTTTAATACCTTCATGCGATTTTGCTTAATGCCTTCCACAATCTGTTCCATCTGGCGCAAGAATTGTTCTCGAGCAGCAGGAGAAGCCATAGCACTGAAATAATTGAATTTACAAATCATTTACTGGAACATATCCCAAAGCAAACCACACTATTGTCAATGACAATTGAAACAAGCTTAAAAGAAGCTACCAATTGACAAAGTTAAGGCAATGCTATTTTGACAGATATTCTATTGAAATTATTCCACATCTCTTTTTCTGCTTCCTTAGGACAGGGCTAAGGACAATTGTAGCTCACCAAACTGTTCAGGCCTTAGAATCAGTGCAGAGTATGATTCTTAGTCATAGAATCATAGAATTATACAGCACAGAAGAATGCCATTCGGCCCATCATGTCTGTGCCGGCTCTTTTAAAAGAGCTATCCAATTCAATCCCACTCCCCTGCTCTCTCCCCATAGCCCTGCAAACTTGTCCTCCCCAAATAATTATCTACCCTATCTATCTTGTTCACCCTATTGAATCCAGTGTTAGGAATAATAAGATAGTAGGAACCACTAGACTGTAGCACTCCTTAGCCTTGAGATATTTGATTAGGGATCTCAGAGGTACATGGGATGGAGGAGTAAACCTAGAGCTATGTTTTCAGATATGCCAGAGCAGCAGGACAAGAAGACAAGGATCAGGGCTTTGGAAGAATTTTAGGGCACAAACGTATTTCCACAAACAACAATTAACAGCTAGAATGCATCGTTACGATGGGTGATAAAGGCAAGCACTAAACCCCTGATGGTGTAAAGGGAAGACCCGAGAGTAGATACTGTGGAAAGATGAGATTAATTGAGTCGATAGGCGTGCATCCTTGCCTCTCTTATGACCTTGTGAACTGTTACCCCAGCTGAGATCAGCTAAATGTGCACAGATCAAAGATCTGAATCCATGACCGTCTTGCATTTGTACCATTCAGTGACAGCATTTCAGATTATTTAAATTCTAATATCAGTATAATGTAATAATAGCAAATGGAGGTCTTCACAAGTCATTTTAACAGTAGGTGCTGCATTAATCATCACAAAATTACATTTGTATTGCATCTTTCCCAAGGCGCTGGATACTATATTCCAAGGAAAATTAACTACTGGGGGAAAAAAAACTCAGCTATGTACAGTAGTTAATTATTTCTATTACAAGGAGAATGCAATAAGAATTGATTGAAATTTAAACTTTGAATTGATGCTATCTCCCCAATCATAAAATGTGATACAAGTTGTGCCATACTTACAGTTGGAAGTTGTCATGAATGGAATTCAACAAACTAACCTGATAAAGAAAAGCCATTTAGAATATTGAACATCCTTCGCATCTCATACTATATAAACTCGCTTACATGTTAACATTAAAAATGTAAGCAGAGTCCACCATAATCATTAGTAAAATGTTGAGGAAGTGGAGAGTGGCGGGGTGGGGTGAGAACAAAACTTTATAATCATTCAGAAAGTAGTCAAAATGTCATAATTTGCAAATGCCATTTCTACAAAACGCCAATTTGCATTGAATACAAATATACATCAGCATTTTAATAAAAATGTGTTATCTTTTAATGTTTCGATACATTAAATCTACAAATTAGGTCAACATGCCCAAATGAAACCAATGCCTGCTAAGTTACTTAAAAATAATTTATTTGAAAACACAAAAAGATCTCACATTTATTAATGCCACAAATCCAATCTTATTAGTACAGAGCACTTTTTATTAAAAAAAACATTCAACCTTCAACATAGAGCTTGGTCGATTTCTTCTAGTTCAGATTCGAGCTTGTTGCAGCTATTGTGAATTACAATCTCACAAGAGGGCAGTATCAGGGACTGACAGCATAATGTACATTAAGTTACCCTTCCCCGAAATGTCACTTCTATGCATACAATTGCATTGAATAATGTGCTGCACCCATGAACATGTTGGGTGGGAAATACTCAAGAAGCCTGAAATCCTACCTAGTCTTATCATACAAAAGCACTCGAATAAAGATTTATGATTGCGCAAAATTCTTCAGTCAACGTAGAAGCTGGTTCCTCACAACTGTTACATTTTCAACAAGACCGAGGCTCTGCTGATTGGCTCCTGTCAACGCATGCTCACCTCAGGCACTGACAGCATCACCATCCATGGTTGCACAATCCACCTTGCTAAGCCAGTCTGGAACTTTGGGATCTTGTTTGACCTTCAACTATCCTTTCTACTCCATGACCCGCTCTGCCTCCGCAATATCGCCCAGTCTCACACCGCAGGCTGTCGAAACCCTCATACATGCCTTCATTACATAAAGGCTCGATTATGCAAACTCACTGCTTGTCGGCCTCCCCAACTCCTCCCTCCACAGGCTGCAGATCATCCAGAACTCTGCAGCCCGTGTCCCCTCCCGCACTAGGCTCCGAGACCTTATCACCCCCATCCTCGCCCAACTCCATTGGCTTCCCATCACACAAAGGATACAGTTCAAGATCCTGGTCTTCACCTTCAAAGCCCTCCACGGTCTTGCTCCCCCCTACCTCTCTGACCTCCTAAGCCCCTGCCATCCTGTTCGCTCCCCCCGCTCGGTGGGCTCCGGTCTGCTTCACGTCCCCCGCCTTGCTTGTCCCACTATCGGCGGGTGGGCCTTCCGCCACTCTGCATCCACCCTCTGGAACTCCATCCTGCAGTCCCTCCATCTCGCTCCCTCCCTTGAGGAGGGAAGACCCTCCTCTTCGACCGTGCTTTCGATCTCCCTGCTTCCCTGCGTGCCCTCCCCACTCCCCCACCCTGACCCTCAGCTCGGGTCCGTAACTCTGTCTGTCTAGCGCCTTGGGACGTCCTCCCGACATGAAAGGCGCTATACAAATGTCATTTTGTTGTTTTCTCATTCTGCCCTCTAGTGTTAGGAGCCTGTTACGTCAGCCGTCCAAACAGTCCACTTCCCAAACCAATAAAATAATCTGATTTCAACTAAGGTGAGAAAACAAACAGAAGCCTTATTGAAATTTAAAAAAAATTAACCTTATTTTGATAAACTCACCTCCTTTTCCAAGTACACCTTTTTGTCATCCAGTGTGTTATAAAGGGTGAAGAACTGTTTTGTCTCTTTATGTGTTGCTGCAACTGCAATAGAACATATCAACATTTCTTCACTTTCACAGAAATTTTTCAGATATTTAAAAATTAAACACTGAACATTTTGGATGTGAAAATTACAGAGACCATTCAGGATTATCCAACACAGAATAGATCCTGATCTAATTATTTTCTTGCTTTTGTAACAAAAACAGTGGAATAATAGTATTAATATTACATTATTAGTTATTATTTTTTTCTTTTATTGGGGTAAAGTGACTTAATTTTAGATGCAGAGATATTGAAACCAGATAAACTTAGAATACTCTGAATCAGATTAACAACACTTGTCACAACAAATGAGATGAGTTTAGACGTGGCATTTGGGCTAGAAAAAGCATTTCCTAATTAGAGGAAGCTGATTCTGATCTGGCATTAGTCATGATATAAATATTCTCCACAACTGCATGTTGCAGGAGAATTGACAACAGTTGATAAAATAACTGCATTGAAAATGCTCCCAATATAGGACAATTACTAGTGTTACAACATGAGTAGACCACATGTAGCATATTAACTTACTGTTGGCATAGTCCAACTCAAATGCCAGTAATTTGTAAAGGTACAAATCCCTGCCAACATTGTATTGCTTCTTGTCAATTGGCTGTTTACTAGTACCACTGTTAAAGATATGAATGACTACAATCATTGTGATCAAATTTAACAAAAACATACACAAGAAGAAAATGAATAGAGTGGAAAAATAGGACAGATCATCGGCAAATTCAAAAAAATTTTTTACAGTAAAATCAACGCATTAATTGAATTTTCTTTGAGCGAGCATGAAATTCCAGGCCTACATCCAAGTTTTTGGTTCAAAGATGAGATAAAATAACATCTGTTGTAATAGTTCTGAAAGTGTATGTAAAATACATCAGAAGTGAACTTTATAAGGCTCCCATGAAACTGTTCAGAAGGAATGTAGTGCCAAACTCCAAAAGATCATGCACATCAAAGCTATATTTAACTCTGCATGGATGCAACAGAGTCCAGATAACCTTTGAAGTCAGGAGTTTCTCATCGTCAAATGTTGGAAATGGGGTTGGGAGAAATATTTTCAGTTATTTCCAACAGGGAGGAGAGAAGTCATCACAATCTGGACTCGACATGCTCACACTGCCATTCTCACACTGAAACTCAATAACTGTACATGTCTGCATTTGATAATTCACTGTCAACATTCATCTTGTTATGGCTCAAAAGAGTGAGGGGAAAGAAGAGGAAAAAAGAGAGGTGATCAGTTCTAAATTTTGCATTGACATACAGATCAAGCTGCAGATGATTGCTGGGATGAGATCATTAATCCAAACAAAGTTACTCAACCAGATTATGTCCAGCCTCAACAAAATTGGATTTTCAGTGACATATTATAAAAAGGGCTGTTTTTCAAGTTTACTCCCCCCCCTCCCCAATTTGACAGTTAATCATAGTTTATTTTACTCCCTCTCTCCAATTTTAGCAACTTTGATTCCAAAAATAGTCTTGTGTTTGGTAAGAGCGGCAGAAGTGTCACTTCCTCATGTTACACGTGTGCTTTACACAGTTAATACTGCACCCCCAATGAAGCACCTTGTATCAGGGTCTTACTGTACATACCCTGACTGTAGAGCTCAACAAATCGTCTCTGATATTGGGTTAGTTCAACCCTACTTGGTACTTCATCAATTTTTCGCTGCAAAATAGCAATTTCTCTATTCCGTCGAGCCTATAAGCATAACCATACTGTCAAAAAGATACAATCGGAACATCTAGCATAAGACAGATTCAGCACCCAAATAAGTAAATTCAAAACTGTAACTAAGTCTGCTAATGAACAATATTAAATTATGGAAATGTAGTTTGAATAGAAAAATATAGAAAATAAAATTCAAAAGCAATGCACCACATCTTTAGATTCTGTATCCATCACTCAAAGCTACTTTCCAGAGTTGGATCACACTTCAAATCATTAGATTTATTGGCATGAAATCAGTCAACTAAACACTTTTACTAATTTGTTATTAAAGATTAGGGAAAGACTGGGTTATCGTAATAAGTCAAACCACGTGAAAAAAAACTTTTTTTCAATCCTAAAGATATTCTGATTTGATCAATCATCAGCTCCACAAAAAAATTCAAAAATGTACATCCTGAAGAAAGTCATGTGTGAGATACTGCTATATATTAAATAAACAAATACTGAATTTTCTAGCTCATGTGCTTAGATGAAAATCTTCTAATCCATCTGCTACACAGCATGGCTTTTATGCAATATGGAATTAATTATGATTATAAATTAGGACAAAAATATATTCTAATCTTACCAATAGTAGTCGTATCTTCTGAAGTTTTTCTTGATCTCCTTTATACTGTTGCTCTATTAATTCCTTGTGTTCCTAGTTCAAATTAAGTTTTTTTTAAGAATGAATTAATAGATTATGTTAACAATATTTTTTCAATAAATTCTCACACAGCATCCTTCAAGGTACCCGAATGCATGCACAGTAATGTGGAAGTGCCAACCGAAGATCACACCTAATTATATCGTTGTTTGGGATTTTATGGTCCATAGCTATTGTGTTATAAATGGGGACACACTGTAAAGGGATGCTAAACTTAAAAGATTACTAGGTTTTCCTTGTGTAATAAACTATAGTAACAAATGTGTTGCGATTAAAGGGAGCACAGCCACAAACATCCCATGGCAACTTCCCACCTCTATCACAGTGTCTAGAACACTAAGTGGAAATCAAGAACTTTCTCACAGGGAGATAAAAAAAATTGGGGACATCATTAGAAGGTCATACTCAAGACAGATTATTAAAATCAATGACGTTAGCTACTTTTGAGATTAACATACTGACCTTTTCGGCACTTTCGTCATTTCCGGTTTCAGCCTTAAGGCTTTCAATTTGTTGTTGCAATCGAGCCATTTCCTCCTACAAACAAAAATCAAGATCAAAATCAAATGAGGAAACTTTTTGTTCATTTTCGATTAATAGACATTGAACTATTATTTAAAGCTTTTTAAACACTGGCCTGGCTCAACTGTAATAAGAAAATATAACGGCCTCTGCTTGTTAACTTATACTGAGTCCTCCTACCTCTGCTTGAGAAATATCGAACAGAGCAGCAAGTGTAACATTGCAAGAATAGGATTACGCCATATTAGTTGCCAAACTTGTTTTACCATCTTATTAGATCATGCCAACTCTTTATAATTTTGAATCAAATTGCCCCTCTCTTTCTCCATAACTTCATTGCATTATAGAGCACCTGTCATGTCGGGAGGACGTGCCAAGGCGCTGGACAGTCAAGGGTTTGTATGCAAGCTGGGGGTTGGATTCAAAAGGATGACCGAAGGCACGGTCAAAGAGGTAATTCCTTTTATGGGCCTTGAAGGACGCAATGGAGGGGCGAGGTGAAGAAACTCTGGGATGGAGTTCCAGGGGTGGGGCAGAATGGTTGAAGGCCTGACCACCAAAGATCAACCAGCGTCTGCTGAGCAGAGGGAGCAGGGAGGTTGGTAATATTTTAATAGGTCACAGAGGTAGTAAGGAGCAAGACCGTAGAGGGCAATGTTGCAGAGATGGGGGAAGGCAGAGCGGGTCATGGCATGGATGTGGGGTTTAAAATGCAGTTGAGGGTCAAACAAGACCCCAAGCTTCCGTACTGGCTGGGGGAGGTGGAGAGTGCATCCATGAATAGTGATGCTGTCAGCGTCTGAGGTGAGGAGGAGTTGATGGGAGCTGAGCAGGACAGTGTTGTTGACATTCAACTGGAGAAAGTTGGCTCTCATCCAGGTCTTGATGACTGACGGACAATCTGTCAGGACAACAGTGGCTCTGGAGTCAAGGGTGAAGATAGAGATAGAGTTGGGTGTCATCCGCATACATGTGGAAGTTAACCCCTTATCTGCAGACGATATCACTAAGGCAGGAGCATGTAAATATTAAAAGAAAGAACCAAAGACAGAGCCCTGAAGAACGCCACACATGACGGTGCAAAGGTTGGAAGAGAAGCAGTTGGTGGATACAAAATGGAGAGTTAAAATTAAATTATAGACACAAATTGACTAATTGAAGCCATGTACATTCATACATAAACGCAAAAATCAATCTTACCCTGCAATGAGTTCTGAACTCTTGTTCTTGACTCTTTAGATCTTCATTCATTGTGACCAGCGCTCTCAGTTTCTCTAGAAGACTGATTGAGAACAGGGTATTAAGATTACACATCATAACAGTTGCATTTGATACAGTGCCTATAATACTGAAATGGCGTGAAGTCCTCCAGCATTGCATGTGAGTGTCAAAGCCGTGAGGTGTAAGCAGCTTCAGGAGAGGAGGGGGCTAACTTCAGCGAGAACATTTTTAATGAGGGCATGCATCATTAAACTCAGCACTACATAAAATGCATGAAGAAAAGTTTTCAGTGGCTGATTTTTGAGATTCACAAAATTTTATCACAAAATTACAGAACATGGTAAAACTACATCTACTGATCAGGACATCTAACAAGATGGGGTAAACTAAGACGGATCAAAAGGAAAAAAAAGTTTTAGTGGAAAAATGTTATAAATGACTGTACAACAAAAGTATTTTCAAAGGAAATTTAACAGAAATGTCTGTTTCAACATTTTAGCACAGTCACTAGCAGGGACTTCTTTCCACAGAAGGTAATCAAAAGTTGTAATGGATCACCAGGAAGGGTGGTCGAGGCTAAGAAACTGGACTTGAAATGGAAAGATAATAGAAATGTTGTAGTTATTTAACAAACTTTACTGATAATCTACATTCCAAATTCTACAAGCGCAGATTAGATATTTTATAACTCCCATACCCTGAATCAGCTTGGGATTCCGCAACTTCAAGAGCAGACAACTCCTTATCCAACTTTTCTCCATGCCTCACAATCTGAAACAAACCACTGGAAGTAAGTAATATATAACAATGGCACTATCAGAATAAAGATTTTTAATTGAGTTTTAATGAGTCAAAAGGACTCAAAAAACTTCACAAATAATTACTATCAAGTAGTGTGTGCTTTTGGAGACAAATTTGATGGCCATTTGAGTCCTGCATTCAACAACCACTATAACCACATATTAACAATTGAATCTTCTGGTTTGATATTTTAACTTTGTACAAGTCAAAGGTATGCCATGAAATTTGTATAAATGTTCTAAACAAATTAGTTTGAAAATAAAGATTGCAACATAACATAACATGTAGGAGCAGGAGGAGGCCATTTGGCCCTTCGAGTCTGCCCCGCCATTCAATCATGGCTGATCTTCTAATCTAACTCCAGCTAATAACCTAACCCTGCCTTATCCCCATATCCCTTAATACTTTTTGCAATAAGAAATCTATCTATCTCAGTCTTGAATATGTTCAAGGATGTCCAGCTGTGCAAGTATCTATGGTGCACAGTTCTGAACATAACTATTAAAGAATGATGACAATATCAGATGGATAGCTCAGTTTTGGGCATCTTAAAATGACATTTCTCACCTCTATTAAGAACTGAATAGGTCTGCAGGATAAAGCATACCAAAATAAACCTGCAGTTCTGGACACTAGCAAATGCATCCAGTTTATACATGCATCTGTACAAATTCACATTTTAATAGCGCTGTCAAATACTGAAAATACTGCTCATTTTCCTCATAATTCTATAAACCTAAAACACCTAATTTTTTTTGCGATTGTAAGAACATGCTGAACAATTTAATACAAACTTAATTTCTCCAAGAAGTGTGAACTTTTAATAACTGATAAAGTGATGAATTTACAGCTTATTAGTAAAATATAGCCCCTTCTCCCCAACCCAGGAAAAAAAATCAATTTGATGAGAGTAATTTAGCCAATTTCTGGAGGGCAGTTTTACTTTCCTTTCCATGTAAATTTCATTGGTCCCACCTCCAGAAGCTTCTTCTTTGCCTCTCCATATCGAGTTTGAATCTCATCGCGTCTTACTTGAAGCTATTGAAAAATGAAAAATCAGAAAATATCTACTCGATTGTGAATTTTTATCATTTATATGGCAGTACATTTGATTTCACCTTAACAGAATACCAACCCATTAAAGTATCAGTTTCCTAAATGAGTCCATTGTCCTGGCCTCTATAATCCTTCCTGATAACCAGTTCCTACATGTATCATTATTAGAATCCAGTGTGTATTATTAGTGATAACTACTCAAATATATGCATTTTCTTTTTGAAACAGTTTAAAAAAAAGTCCAGGGAGAGTGAGCATTCCATTCCAGACACAAGGACACAGCCCCCTGTTGATGCAATACATGTGTGGAACATCCGATCTGGTTTGGGTACTCTTAAGCTTGATGATGGATTTCTGCATGCATCATAGATTTCATTCTTTAAAGTGCTCAAAATCCTACCTCTTCCAACTGTTTTGATTTTTGTAAGATCTGTTTGCTGAGAGATGCCACTTGTCTTCGATGCTGTTGAGCTACCCCAAACCGTTCAGGATGATCCTCAGTTGACAGCTCATTTTGCTGCAATATTAAGAATCATCACTTTAAATTAAGAGACAAGTTATTCTGTGTAATCCTTATTACAACTGATTATGTGTAATGCTGTAACAACTGCTCTCTAACAACAATAATAATTTAGAAATGCAAGCCTATTGCCAGAAAAGTGAAGTAATGACAATGGATAGCCAACTATAATCTACATTAAATTTATTTCAGTAACATTTAATATAACCTGGTAGTTCATCATTTTCTTTTTAATTCTAATAATTTAATACTATAATTATTCACAAGATTAGAGTGGTAAGATCAAATACTTCAAACGGGTATGAGAATTCCTGCATTACAGAAGAAAAACAATGCAGAGTGATTGAATAGTATAAATGTAGAGATCTAGATATTCTGGAGCATTGCAGAATTATTTTTTGGAATCCTGGAGAATTTATGCTGAACTTTTGCTTAGGACGCTTATGGTCTGTGGGAGGAATAGATTAATAGGAAAATGGTATTTGAATATTCCATAATGCAGGTTCTTATCACATCAGATTGATTCTCTTCAAGAAGGGTTTCCAGCATAATTTGTAGAAGAAATTTTTTTTTTGATGCAGTTGGGTGGCAAGCAAACATTAATCTACATTAAAGTCACATACTCCTAAATTAAAACCGCTGCACTCCTGAAACACATTAAAACCATTCACTATGTGGATTCGAACAATTAAGGCCTAATGAATGATCCTGCACACTGCAATAAAGGCTCAAGTTAATTAAAGCATTCAGCTGTTGCCTTGTGCTTTAATTAGCTCAAGCTCCCCTCAGTTGTCAGAACCAGGTTTTAATCAGCTCTCTGTCCCCGAGTCCAGCATAAAACCGGATGGCTCATTTATTAGCGTTTTAATAGATCATGCAATTCTGCCCCAGAATACAAAAAGCTAGAATGGGACAATGGTTTTTATATCTGACTGTTCATTGGCATTAATCAGAGCTGATTAGGAAGCAACAAAACCCAAGTTGGGCAAGAACTCATGTGCGATCAAAGGGAGGAATAACTAAAATACCATTTGGGGGAAAATGCCTTTAAACTAGCTGCAGAGATAGACATTATCTGAAATGTTCGCCGTGACATCATGTCATAGAAAGATTACATTTCTATGTGCCCAATTTGAAAATTGGTTTTATTCTTGCAGCATATGAAGAATGATAATTGAAGAAAATACTGGATGAAGTAGTTGATAACATTTTGGATTTAGCATACGAGACTAAGATGAATGAAAGTGATAATATACACCAGTGTCATTTTAACACCGCAGTTTCAAGTATGAAATTCTCCAATATAAATGGGCCAGAAGATGTTCTAGAGTTGACCTTACGCAATAGATCAAGCCATGTCTAGCAAGAAATTTGCTGAAGATTAATATGCAGACAAAATCAGTTATTTCAAACTAATTTCACAAAACCAGCAAAGCAGTCCCAATAGGATAACAAAATAAATCATATAAAAAAATTACCAAAGTAGGTAGGCCCACTGTGGTGAGTTCCAACATTCTACTAAAACTTCAGAGACGATCATTTCAGTGACAGCTCAATTTATGGAGGGAACTGATTAGCATTTAAAGATAAATAGAAAATTAGGATGACTCTCATCAAGGATCACGATTTGAAAGCATTGTTTAGTCTTTTATGAAATTTGGATAAAATACATTGCCTGAGGCTGCAACTTAGCACCTGCAATTTATTAAACAGTTAAGAGACATTTGTAATAAATTATTTTGCTTCTCCTATGCCAGTGGCATAGGAGAATTAATTACCCGAAGGACTTTTTTTAAAAAAGTGTTTTTAATTCCATCATGATCAGTGTATTGAGGGGAACATTAAACAGGATATTAAGCGATTAATCTTATTGCGATCTCAAATTCATGAGTCAGGAGCCTTCTATCATGATATCTAAAGATAAGAATTACATAAGTGGCCAATACAGGGCAGCACCTTTAGAACACACCTCATTTGAACAGTGTTTCCACTTTAGGAAGAAAGAGGTATTAGCAGCAAATTGTCATAACAAAAACTATTGATTGCTCCCAGAAATATTGTTTCCTTTATAAAATCATACAAATTTAGTTAAGAAATCATAAAGACAGTTGTAACACTCACTTGGTATTTAAAAACCCCAAATTATTGCACCTACTGTAAGAAAAAGGACGGTTGTATTCCAATGAATAAATGTGCATCTGACAGATTTAATTACTAAAATTCGAAACACTATTCACATAATAATGTTAACAAAACTAAAATTAGGATTTGTTAAAATGTAATTGAAACACTATGCTAAAACTGTACTTTACTCATACCTTTCCAGCATATTCTGATGCAATCTGTTTAATTTCTTCAGACTGGAGACCTACTATTTGACCCACTGTACTCGCAGTCAATCTGCCCTAAAAGTCAGAACATGGAAAAAAATGAAGTGAAGTCATGGATGGACAATGTTTGAGATTTAAAATGAAATCAATAATTTACAATGAAATCTAGTGTTTTACGGTAGAACAATCTGATGTTTCACATAGAAAAGTAACCTGAAAACAACAATGTCAAATAACATTACTGGGATAATGATATTAAAATACTGTATTTTGTGTCATTCAATATTAAAGCTTTTTATGACAAATACAAAGTACAACATTGATTTGAAGTAGAAGTCAGATTAAGAAGCAAATAGAAATATGACTCACTTTTCTCATAAAATTTGGATACTTTAGTCAAAACAAAGTCAGAAGTCCTTTCCTCATCAAACCTAATGTTGAAACGATCATATACAAAAATGTTTAAACTCAGAATTGCTTTTCTAAATAAAACGTTGCCTTGCTTCACATCCATTGTGAACAAACACAATTTAAATAGCCAAGTAAGTCCTCCTTTATTTCAGATCGCTTACCTCTTCAGTTGCCATGGCAGCCATTCCAGTCATTAGCGTTTTAATGCGAAGCTATGAGTAAATAAACAAATGAATTCGTGATGGATGGTTGCAAATTTTAAGCATTTCATTTTGCCAATAAAAGCAAAAATGTAATAAAATGTTGAAAATTCACACAATATATAGGACCATACATATATGGAATCAATGTATTGACTTGAATATTAACTTCCATTTTAATAGGAATAATCAACCACAGTTAAAGTTTGTGTTTAACAGCTATAATAAATAATTATCTGTACATTTGATATGGTGCGTTTTTTAGTCGAGAGAATGTCTCAAAACATTTCACTGGATATACTGCCCTTTATAATTCACTGGTACGACCGCACTTGGAATAATATGCAGTTCTGGTCATCGCAATATAAAAAGGATATCGCAGTGATTGAGGACACAGAGGAGGGCAACCAAAATGATAAGAGGGGATGGAGGAACTGGACAGTGAGCAGCGATTAGGTTATCTTGGCGTGTTCACATTGGAGAAGAGAAGGTTGAGGGGCGATATGATTACGGTCTTCAAGATTCTCAAGGGACTAGATTATGTATTCCATGATAAGTTTTATCTTATACTGAACAGTAGAATCAGAGGACAGGCCTGCGATTAAAAAGGGGTAAATTCAAAACAAATCTGCGGAAACACTACTTCAGTGAGCAAGTAGTAAATGTATGGAACAGGGTACCCAGGGAGATTGTGGAAGCAGAAAGTGTTGTTTCAAGAACAAATTAGATACATTTCTGTTAGAAAATAATATCTTGGGATACAATATATAGATTGGGACACAGCATGTCAAGCGACTGCCAGGATGATGGAAAGCGAACTGGATGGACCTCGATCTTCTTTCGCCTAGCAAATTCTTATGTTCTTCTTACTGTAATGTGGTATGACTGTATATTGTGGGCAAACACAGCAGTCAATTTGTGCACTACAATATCCCACAAACAGCCGTAAACAACAACAAAATTACGTTTATACAGCATCTTTCACATCAGAAGGACGTCCCAAGGAGTTGAATGACCAATTTAATTTGGGGATTGGTGGCAAGTTCATCACAATGTATTTCTACTAAATGTAAACAAATATACATAACTCACAGGAAATAGGAAAATAAAAGTAATTCACAATGATGCCCCAACTATATATACCTGCACCAGCATTAGGACTGTAATATTACTGGATTCCTGTAGGTTGTGCTATTGCCAAAGACCTGAGGGCTTACCATCGGGAAGCAGCTGGTCAATTTATAAAGCTCCAATTACATTTCAATAAATTAGAAAGAATGTACAAGTTTTTATATTTTATGCTACAATTTAGTTAACTTGTAAACAGTAATGTAAACAAAATAGTACACAAATTACAAAGGAACTTTAACTAAGCTGGACATATAGTGCCTTTCATGTCAGGAAGACGTCTTCTAAGTAACTACTGTTAAGTGTAGTGACAGTGTATTTGTACACAAACGTGACACACTGCTCAAGGAAAAGTCCCACTAACATCCAGGAGATGAATGACCAATTTAACTGGTGGATTTGTTGGCCAGGAGAAATTCCCTTTTCTTTCAAATATGGATATAGGTTACTTAACATTCACCAGAACAGGTAGTTGAGACCTCAGATTAACGTCTGATTTGCAGGAAGCCACCTCTGACAATGCAGTGCTCCCCAACAGACTGCACAATGAGCTCAAAGGTTTCTGAATGGGAGACTTTAACTCACAACCTCTGAACCAGAGGTCAGATTGTTACTGACCGAGCCAGGCCGACACCTAAGAAATGCAAATGTTGCACTGATGCACAAGCTATCCTTTTCTGAAAAAAATGTGGAGTAGCTCATCTGTAAACTTCTCGTCTACGTGCAGGAAACTAGAGGAAATCACAAAGAATAAGTCAATTTCTGCCAACCCTACTTATTTACAGCATAAACGTACCTCTTCAGCAGCTTGCAGATCTTCTTCCTCAGATACTTCAGTCATTCCAGCTGCTAAGGTCACTTTTTTGTCTTCAGCCTACAACACCAACAAAATTACATTTGCATAGCACCTTTCATGTAGTGAGGACATCCCAAGGTGCTAGACAATCAGTGGCCAATAGAGCAATATTAAAAATAAATACAAGCAACCATTTTGGAGAGCATTAATTTCCAGACAATCAGTTTTTCCAAAGTAGCAATGGACATAGAATGAATATCAGATAGTGTTAATTGCTCATTTTCAGCACCACTTTCACCAGTTTCATACATCTAAAAGGAAAAAAAAACAACTTATTTTCTTATGGTCTGGCACACATTGCCTGAAATATTACCTTTCAAAAGGGAATTAGATAGGTACTTAAAAAAGAAGAGTTTGCAGGGCTATGAGGTAAGAGCGGGGTAGTGATACAAGTTGGTAGTTTTTTCAAGGAGCTGACACAGGCACGACGGGCCGAATTGCCGCCTTCTGTGCTGTAATATTCTAAGATTCTATAAGTTGTTTACATGCATAATCGAATTATGATGAATAAGACCTGCTCTATTAAGTAATAATAACAATAATCCTTGCATTTGATATAGCGCTTTTTACGTCTTCTAGACGCCTCAAAGCACTTCACAGAATATGCTGTAAATTGATTTGACTGTATGTTTGTGGGCGAAACGCGGCAGCCAATTGCGCACAGCAGTGTCCCACAAACAGTTGTGGATTGAAAATGATCAATTTATTATTGTTTTATTTTTTGGAGGGATTATTATTTAGGTGTGTCGAGTAAGGAAATTTGCCCAAGATTTCGCCCTGCCTGGAATTGAACCCAGGTGTCTTGCATGCAAGGCGAGTGCTCTAACCACTGAGCTTCAAGACTCCACGTAGCTCTTTTCAGTAAATCCAAGCCAACCAAACAGTTTTTTTTAAAAAAAAACTGAACCCCATATAATCCAGTATTAAAAATAATTAAGCAAAGTACATAAAGTCTTTTAAAACCATTGATACTTACTCAAAAATATAGTTCCTCAAGTTGAATTCTTACCTTTTCAGTTTTAGGTCTGCTAAATCCATACCTCCTATGAAGAGAGGAAGAAAAGTTCTCTAAATAGGGTGTCATGGGTTTTCCCCCTCACTTCAAACACTAATCATTAGCAGCTCTATTACTTTCACCAGAGTGATACTGGGATTGAAAGGGTTAGATCGTGAGCATAGGTTACATAAACTTGGTTTGTATTTCCTGGGGTTCAGAAAGTGATCTAATTGAGGTGTTTAAAATTATAAAAGGATTCGACAGGGTAGTTACAGAGATACTATTCCCTCTGGTGGGAATAGTATCTATTCGGCTCGACTCTCTACCCCCTCCTCGCTCCCTTCCTTCCCTCCCCTCACCCTGACCATTTCCCCCCTCCTCGCTCCCTCCCTTCCCTCCCCTCACCCTGACCATTTCCCCCCTGTTCGGGTCCTGACCCAACTGTACAGCGTCTTGGGACGTCCTCCTGACGTGAAAGGTGCTCTATAAATGAAATCTTGTTGTTGTTGTTGTTGGTGAGGGTTATCCAGAACGATAGGTATAGTCTTAAAATTAGAGCTAAACCAGTTAGGAGTGAAATCAGGAAGCGTTTTTTTCCCCCATAAAAGGGTTCTGGAAATCTGGAATTCTTTCCTCCCAAGAGGCCGTGGATGCTCGGTCAATTGTAATTTAAGACTGAGATCGATAAATATTTATTAGGTAAGGGTATAAACGGATATGGAGAAAAATGGAACTGAAAACTTCAGAGTACACAAGTTCTTTACCCTAGAATTATAAGATGTATATTTACTGATTTCTCGTTCTTCCCAACACATCTGATTAAATTACTGTTTTGTATGGTACTAAACCACAACAGTGGGATAAAGGAAGGATTCCTCTCAACTCCAACAAAAAAATGCACATTTGGAAATACAATGTTTTCACATGAAATTACTCAAAAAGGATTTTAAAAAAACCTTCACTATTCAAATTCTCAAATTTCAAAACAATAAGCAGTTATTTTTCCAATAAACATTAATTAATATATCAAAAAAGTCAGTACCATTAAAAATGTTTTTACAATTACATAAATGTACTCATTTTATAACTAAAATATCAATGATACAAAATAATATTTCATAAAATATACATCGCTGCAACAATAATATTGAGCCAATGGTTTCAATCATAAAGATTAGAAAGTGAAAAAAAGGGAAGAGATAACTTGCAGTATTGAAATGAAAGTTCAAAGACTGAATACTCACATGAGGGAATCAGGAAGGCTAATGGAAATGGCAGAAGTAAAGAAAGCAACAAAGAAGTGGAAAAAGGACAAAGAAGTTTAACAAAAGAGGAAGAATTAATTGTAAGCAATTAACAGATCTGAGTCATTAAATTCAGTAGCACTGAAATACAAAGAAAAGTGAAAATGGTAAGAAAAAAAAGTTGAAAAAAATATCTGAGAAATGTATTTACGTCAAATTACCGTATATAGAAAATATATTATTGACAACAAATTAGTTGAAAAGTTTATGTGGAGATGAGTGAGTCTCTTTTGGTCTATTTGATCTCATTCTTCCAGAATGACCCTCCCGTCATTAATTACAGTATTAAGTTATTTCTCTTACCCTTCCTGGTAATCTATTCAAGCAGTTATTACTGTGCGTAAATAATACTTCTGATGTCTGTCCTAAAATTACTCTTCACATTCCGAAACCTACATTATTTCGAACTTTAGTTTACTGACCAATATGGTAGTTTGGAATGACTGAGCTTAATCTGACTGAGTTTAACCTGCATTTTACTGGTAAATACTAGTTTATTGTAGAGGAGGTTAAAAAAAACATACACCAAGAAAACCCTTAGCTCAACTGATGGAATGAGGCTTTCATCTTGATTGACCCTACTGCAGTGGAAAGTGTTTTGCAATGTTATATGATGCTTTTTAGGTGTGATATGAGATCAGCTCGAGATAGAATTGCTAAACATTTAGCATGTAAGTAACATGTTTGATCACCTGGAAAGAGCAAGAGACTACCATTAATACAATCCGCATAATTACAATCACACTCCAAAAAAGCAGAAATGGCTCAAAACACATTTTCTTTAAACTGGAGTGGAAGCATCAAGTAGATTAAAAATATAAAGCTATCATACACAATTAAAGAACTATTGTTTTATACCGATAATGTAGAACTGATCACTCTCTTAAACCTTACCGGCCAAATTCTAGAAGAGTAGAATGGACCCTCGATTCTTCATCTATCAACGTTTGTGCTCCACTTAACCGCTTGTACTTGCGTTGTGGTTTATAAACGTCCTTTGAAAGTAAAGAAATTCAACTGGTTTACTAAACACAATACAAGTGATACTAAACGGAAGCATGGAATAATGTTGCCTATCTCTAGACAAATCAGCATCTCTGCCCCCACCCTCTGGAACTCCATCCCACAGTCCCTCTGCTTCGCAATACAAATGCAATTTCTTGTTGAAGTTATTTAGGATAAAATTTCTGAATTACCTCTATACCTGAGTTTCTATTCAACTGCATTCATTCATTCAAGCGCAAGAACCTAAAGCAAATGATGAGACACCCGCAGTTTTACAAAACCTATTTTGTTCACATACTGCGTGCACCATAGCAAATAGCCCGATTTTAGAAGATGGGGCAGAGTTAATGAAGAAAACGTGCAACAATTTCGTTAAAGCAATGAAAAGTAATGAAATTATAACTGTGCAAATGATTACATTATTTTAGAAATCTCTACGTACAGAAACATCCACGACCGCTTTCATGGCCTTGCTTTTTCTCTGCTTGAAATCATTGTCCTATTACAGATAACAATAAAATACACTTTAATTTACTGAATACGATTAGGTTGTCTCAAAATTTACAAAAGTTCACAAGCATATTTAAAAACAGGAGGAGGAAAATATACCTTAATTATATGATGAATTATTACCTGCCCCCAACACACACTTTTTTGTGACTTAAAAACAAAGCCGCCTCAAATCAGGTCAAGAACCACTTGCCCTTCCTATAGCTCACATCCTTCCTCAAAGCATAAAGCTACTGCATATACATTATTTTACATTTAACACTCACCTCAAGCAGACTATGATTTTTCTGAAATTGTGATACAGAAAAAGACCGGATATAGTCTCCCATCTCTTCTCTCGTCTCAATTGCACGTTTTACCAACCACTTAAAATAAGAGAGCATAGTCAACATTAAGCTGTCAAAATCCATCATCTGTATTGCACATATCAAAAGAGAGCTTTGCTGAAACACAAAAGTCAATTTACAACAACTTCTAACAGGTGTTAGAAAAATGCATCTAAAACAGTTCAAAACAGAAAAGCAGACGGTTTATAGTGCATATAAAAAATGATAAGTTCTTAGGGTGAAAATATTGTCTCTCTTCTGCAAAATGTTTCCCGGAGACACTAAACTTAAAAATCTCTACACAGTAGAAAAAAAGCACGTAATGGTTTGAATCTAACTCCTAAAGATCCTAAAGATACTCTTGTATTAAAAGCTATTTCACCATCAGCTTCAGGCATGCTGGTATTGAAAATCTAGTTAAAAACTGTATACAAATATACAGAAATCATATTCTCAGATCTATCCAATAAAACAAAGCCAATAGGAATATGTTTTTTGATTTATTACCTATCAAAATTAAGCATGAATTTCAAAAGTAAAACAATGCTTATTGCAAAGATGGCTTCAAAATAAAATCCCTTAAATAATGCTTTTAATAAAACATCCAATAGAAGACTGAAGAAATTATACGTTTAAAAATATTGCATGAATTTTAGTGCAAGATTGTTTAGTCAGAATGTGAAATGTAAAACTTATATTCTGGTGATAACTAGGAATATCGACTGAATTGAAGATACTTTATTTAACATTCATGGACTCTTGAAAGAGTTAAAAAAAAATAAGTCTTACCTGCACGACAGGAAATATGTGAATGAAATCCAGACCCTGGATCTGGTGTGGCTCTAACCGGTGAGGGCACTTCATATTTGGCAAAACAGATACAATTTTCTCTGTCAGTGCTCTATAACACAAAATGTTAAATTTCAACAAATGTATGCAATTCTTACCATGTTTTAAATGCCTCACAAATGGAAATAACATGTTCATTTTAAACTATCCAGAGACATTTCATGTACTTTTCCCACAAGTGACATCATTAAGTGTAACAAACAAGAACATTGTGGCTTCACAAGTGTATATTTACACAGTATTCTTTCAAAAAAAGACCCAAAGAGGGAAAGATTTTCTTTTAGGATTATTAGCCCGCGAGCATTCAACTTGTTCTTCAAAAACTCACAAAAGGTGGACCCTGCATTTCCTTCTTGTGTCTGTCTGCCCTTACACCTATAGGATCATGGTGGGACACTGTATGTGGGGAAGGGTGGGGAGAAACAGCAAGTTCCTGTCTAAGTCTTAGGAAAGGGGTTCAGATTATTTCTCCAGTTTTAAAATGAAGCTCACTTCAACTATCCCATACATGCAGTACCACCATGTTTGGGAAAGTAGGACTACAGCAAAAGCACTGCATTGTTCTTCATTTGAGGAAGGATGCATATTGAGCAGAAATGTGCAGGCACATGTAAGGACAAATCCTCTCTACTAATTAAAAGTTTGCAAATTGCATATAGTATCACAATGAATCTGTTAATTCCAATAGGCTAAGTGATGCAATCTGTCCACGTTGACCAACACTAGGCATGCACCCCTCCTTTTTGATACGCAGGAAGCTAAGCCATCATGGAGAATTATTGCATGTGTTAAAGACTATTGACATTTCTTACAAGCAGCAAAACCATTCTCGAATAACTTACATTTTCTGACCAATTGTTGAATTTTCTTGAAAAAGTAAATCAACGTCAATATCAAAGCTGCAGGTTGTAATGCACCATGTCATGCCACCCACCACCTGGGAACAGAATGACCGGGAGGGAAAGAAGAGTTTTAAGCCAATTTAAAAAATCATTTGGAAAGAACTATTCATGATACCGAGGGATAAGTACTTGATGGATCTGTTTCAGGTCTCTCTGATATGATTGTGGCGCTTCTGTTTCCAGATGATATTGTGTTGCTGGCAGACTCACCTGGGGACCTTCTATACTGCACGCGCCATCTTGAACATTGGGCTAACCAGTGGTACATGGTGGTAGGTGCCCCCAAGTGCAGAATCATGGTTCTGCAGGGCCCAAGGGAAGTCATCACGGGAATTGATTGGAAGATACAGGGGGCATCAGTCCCAATTGTTTGACTCTTATCGGTACCTTGGGATCATAGGGGACACAAAAGTCAGCCTGGATCCTGTCCTGAAGGACCGCACTGAGAAGGGGCGAAGGGCACTGTGATCATGCTCATTCCACTTCAAGGACAGTAAGGTTCCACTGCAGTGCAAGCTTGTGACGTACAAGACCTGCGTGTAAACAATCCTCCTTTATCGATCTGAGCTCCTGGGCATGCAGGGAGAGGCTTCCTCCAACCCATCTGCAAAGTCCAGGATCAAGCAGTGAGGTAGATTCCTGGCAAACACGGAAAGCGGCTGCAGTGAGGGATGGCTCCGGCCTACATTGACGTGTCGCTAAGCACTCTGGAGCCGGAGTCAGCTTCATAGTGGGCATGAATATTCACCAAGGCCCCTCACACGAGGACCTGGATTAGGCAGCTGGTGCTGAGTAAGCCTGGTATATGGCATTAGACCTCAAGAACATCAAGGTGGCTGACACATCACAAGCTGTCCTGTAAAGGTCCTCCCACCACACTGAAGGCAGATGCCCGCCAGATGCTGATAAGGAAACTCTGAGGCTTGGGGCGACAGCTGCTGGAAAGGGTTAGCTGGAGTCCGAGTTTGTGAACACACGTTCGTACATCCAGCGTCATCCAGGTGACATGCCTGATAATGGAACATCAGAAACTCAGTCTCGGTAGCCCAGTCCAGTTGTGGCGGTCTCAGACCAGTTCCTGAGCCAGGCGGGTCCGCAGTATTCCAGAGCACTGCTGATGACAGCAACTTTTTGGGGGAGAGAGTTCCAGATTTCCACTACCTTTTGGGTGAAAACCTGCCTCCTAATTTCACTCCTATATTCTTTCAGTTTATGTTCCTTCAATCATTCATTTTCGGAGATTCCCCTCCATACTTAAAGTTCCACAAAAATAGCTGGATCAGTCATAACTAAGATTTTAAATCAACTCTAAAGTTGGACTGCAATTTTATCTTCTAATACCTGATTACCTGATGCAATATTACCAAGATTGCTATTATGGTTGTGCAACCCCCTCCTCGCTCCCTCCCTTCCCTCCCCTCACCCTGACCATTTCCCCCCTGCTCGGGTCCTGACCCAACTGTCCAGGGCCTTGGGATGTCCTCCCGACATGAAAGGCGCTCTATAAATGGAATCTTGTCGTTGTTGTTGTTGTACTACTTTTCAATGGTAGCTACTGGTATAAAGACTTTTATATTAAAGAACTGTAGCTTGTAGTTGTGCCTGATTGCTCACCTTGTCAAATGGTGACAGTCCCTTAATTCTTGCTCTGAAATATCCAGCAGCAACCAGCAGTTCCAAGATTTCTGCCAGTTTAACATTCTGTTCCTCATCTTCACGAGTTTCTACCTTTAAAGCATTTAAACAATAGTGTTACTTTCTACTGGGATTGTAGTAAGTCTCAACAAAGTGCAAAGCATTTTTATAGCGAGACTAGGAAAGTTGAACGGTCTACTACAACAACAAGATTACATTTGTATAGCGCCTTTCATGTCGGGAGGACATCCCAAGGCGCTGGACAGATTACAGCATTTCAGACCCGGGCTGTGGTCAGGGGAGGAGAAGGGGGGGGAGGAGGGGAAGGGGGGTGGCCGATGGCATGGTCGAAGAGGAGGGTCTTGAAGCGGGACTCAAAGGAGGCTAAGGAGGGGGCGAGGCGGAGTGACTGGGGGATGGAATTCCAGAGGTTGGGTGCAGAGTGGCTGAAGGCTCTCCCACCAATGGGGTGGCAGGTGGGTCGGGGGACGTGGAGCAGGCCAGAGCCGGCTGATCGGAGGGAACGGGCAGGTTGGTAGGTGGTTAGGGGGTCGCAGAGGTAGGGTGGGGCGATGCCATGGAGAGCTTTGTATGTGAGGACCAGGATCTTGAACTGGATCCTCTGAAGGATAGGGAGCCAATGGAGTTGGGCGAGAGTGGGGGAAATGGGGTCACGGAGTTTGGCGCGGGAGAGGACACGGGCTGCAGAGTTCTGGATTATTTGCAGCCTGTGGAGGGAGGTGTTGGGAAGACCGACAAGCATAGTCGAGCCTGGAGGTAATGAAGGGGTAACATTGCAGGTTATAGCTGGTCCTGAGGAATTTTAGACAGCCCTAGTGCACAGTATTAACTTTCCTATAGAACCTATAATTATAATAATACTTGCATTTGATATAGCTTCTTATCACATCGTTGAGATGGATCGAAGCACTTCAAAGAACATACTGTAAAATTAATTGAAAACATTTTTTGGGAAGGGATTATTATTCCCCCGGAGAGCGATCTGCCAATCTAACAAGTGGGTTCCTGCTTATTGCTAAGTAAACAGAGACGTAAAGGATCTTGCCTAAGGTTTCGCCCTGCCCAGGGATTGAAACCGGATCCTTTTGCTTGCGAGGTAAGTGCTGTAACCACTATGCTACAGGACTCTATACCTATTTGTCTTTCCACTTTATATGTCAGGCTGGTACATTTTTAAGTCGTAATTTATATCCCTGCAGTCAAAAGGTTGTGGATTCAAGTTCCACATCAGCCCTTGAAACTCATAATATTGAGGCTGACATTCCAATGAAGTGCTGTGGGTGAACTTCATTGTGTGGTAGTACCGATGTTAAATTTCCCATGGCACTATTCGAAAAGAGAAGTTTCTCCCAGCGTCCTGCCTACAATCCTTCAATAAAATTGGTCACTCACTCAATGGTTGTTTGTGGGACATTGCTGTGTCCAACTTGGCTGTCGCATTGTCTCACAAAATACTCCACTTTACAATGTATCCTGTGAAGTGCTTTGGGACGTCCTCTAGACAAGAAAAGCAGTATATTAAATGCAAGGATTATAATTACTATGCTTCAGGGTACCAAACCAGACTACGTTCCACATATGTATACCACCTACACATGGAGATTTCCGTGTTTGGAATGGAATGGACACTGTCTCTTGGTACAAATACATCAATGTGGAGTCTGATAGTTTAGTGATTAGAGCAATTGAGAGGACCTGGGTTCGATTCCTGGCAGGGCGAAACGTTGGCCAAGTTTCCTTACGCCACACGCCTATTTACCTAGTAGTAAGTAGGAACCTGGATGTTAGTCGATTGGCGGATCGCTTTTGTGGGGTTAATAAATTCCTTCAAAGTAAGTAATAATATGGTCACTCAATCCACAACTATTTGTGGGACACTGCTGTGTGCAATTGGCTGCCGCATTTAGCCACAAAAATACGCTCAATTTATTTTACAGTATATTCTGTGAACTTCTTTCAGATGTCTTGAAGATGTGATAAGGTGCTATACCAAATTCAAGTATTATTATCACGCTTACCTAATTCTGGAGTTTTAGGCTCAGGTTCGCAGGAATCAAGATTTGGGGTCCCAGAGTATGCATTGGAGTCACATTAACAAATCATACCCTATTGGGGGGGTTTGCAACAACATTTCACACTTGCTTTCAATTTTTAAATACTACTCGTTGCACATGGGCTTAAAATTATAATTTTGTAAAAAAAACAATCCTTGCATTTGATATAGCACTTTTTCATGTCTTCGAGTGTCTCAAAGCGCTTCACAGAATATACTGTAACGTGAATTGACTGTATATTTGTGGGCAAAACGCAGCAGCCAATTGCACACAGCAGTGTCTCACAAACATTCGTGGATTGAAGTGATCAATTTTTTTTGAAGGATTATTATCTATCAGGCGTATGGAGTAAAGAAACTTGCCCTGCCAGGAATCGAACCCAGGTCTCTCGCTTGTGAGGCGAATGCTCTAACCACTGAGCTACAGGACTCCTAGGATGGAATAGGACTCCTAGGTTGAAATAGGATGGAAGACTTTAATTGGACCTGAGCAAGGGACCGATGAGTGATGGTGGAATAAAGCATGTTGTCTCCAACAGGATGGGTAACTTCCAGCTTCTTGCCCCACCCCTCCCTCCAATCAAACACCATGCGTCAAACACCTCTAACACAAGTTTGAGCATCAAACCCAAGGGTGAAATGGAAACTGTGGGCAAATTGTTTGTGACTAAGAAAACATCTGGGTAATGTCTCTACTTCCATTCACCTGTGAGGGAACCTCTTAGGTACAACAGTGTGTGAGCTGTTATTAATAATAATAATCCTTGCATTTGATATAGCGCTTTTCACATCGGGAGGATGTCCCAAAGCGCTTCACAGAACACACTGTAAAGTGAATTGACTGTATATTTGTGGGCGAACGCGGCAGCCAATTGCGCACAGCAATGTCCCACAAACGGTCATATGGATTGAAAATGACCAATTTATTATTGTTTTGGTTTTTTGGAGGGGTTATTATTGGGCTCTGTGTGGAGTAAGGAAACTTGCCCAAGGTTTCGCCCTCTGCCTGGAATTGAACTCAGGTCTCTCACTTGCAAAGCGAGTGCTCTAATACCAATGCCACAGTTTTGTGCAGGAATAAACTGCCTACAATCTCAGGCGCAGGTCTACCATATCGACCACCACCAGGGTTGCCAGAAATTAAAATAAGTTTATAGCCCAAAGTCAACCAAATACTAGCCCAAAAATAGCCCAATAGTATGCGCTGCCTCCTGTGTGTAGTAGTGGCCAATTTGGGTTAGAGCTTTTCAAGTAAGTAAAGGTCTTCAAAGGGAAAAGAATGTCTTGTGGGTTTAAATCAATTCTCTTAAATTAGGCACCCACCCGAAGCCGATTTTTCAGGCACATTTAGGCAACAAAACCAACCCCAATTGGGCGTGAACCCGCCCAATCCGGTAACATTGGTCACCTCACCGCCCAGCGCTCGGGCTGGAGGCGGTGAGAGTTTCATTTGAGGCTCTCGCTGCGAAACCAGGACAGTCAGGAGACCCGCGGAGCGCTCGGAGAAGGGGAGAGAGAGAGAGAGAGTGCGGGGGAGGTAGTGAGCGGCCCTCCCTCTACTCCGCTGACCGCCTGCAGGCGACACCCAGCGGCCTCCGGGGACCTGTCAGAGCCGCTGTGTAGCGGTGGTGCCGCAGTCGGGATGTGTCTCGTGCACACGGCGGGACAGACCCTCGTCAGCGCCGCGGCCGCCCACCCACCTCGATCACGTTGCCCTCCTGGTCGTACTGCGGCCCGAGCCTGGAGCCCGACCGCAGCCGCTGGAACACTGAGGCAGCCGCCATTTCCAGTCACGTGACGTGCCAGGCAGCGCCGGGTCACGTGAGCTTTCAAACCGTGTCAGGCGGGAAAACCACACGTGGTGTGAGCTGACGGGTCAGCGAGAGCCCCACACACAGGGCAGCACATCAGCTTCACACCAGATACTGACCAGAGCCGAAGGCAGGTCTGACAGGGGAGGGTCTGGGGGTGATGCCCCCCACCGCCAGGGCCCCCCACCGCCAGGGCCCCCCGCGCCCCCCACCGCCAGGGCCCCCCGCGCCCCCCACCGCCAGGGCCCCCGCGCCCCCCACCGCCAGGGCCCCCCACCGCCAGAGTGATCACTCAACGTCCTTCACATCATCAATGAGCCATGAGCACCTGCCATGGCCCGGGCAAGAAAGGTGGAGGGAAGAGAAACGCCCTCATCTTCAACCTCGGTCGCGGTACCTTTGACTTTCCATCCTCACCTCAGTTCTGCTGCCAATGGATAATATGGCCTCTTATCAGATTTGTTGACTTTGGATTTTGCCGACAAACATGACAGCCAATGTAGTGGTGGCTGAGTGGTCTGTGCCCACATTGACAACCCATGAATCAGTATTAATGGATCTGTACAGCTTCGATGGGGGAAACAAATAACCAATGGTGAATACCTTGGCTCTCACTGAGGTTCATCTTAATCTCATCCTTGATGTGATCTAATTTTATCATAATTGAGCATTCGGGGCCACATAACATTACACATCTTTGAAGTCCTATATTATACAAACCAGGGAGATATACATGAAGAGTTAAGTTTTAGGAAATAGATGATGGATAGGAATCATGGGATGTCATGGTCAAACTTCCTTTGTCCATATTCCTGATGGAAGAAATTTGGGTTAAATAGTTTGGACTGCTTCCATAATTTGATTGTTGGACATGAAAAGGTTGAAAACTTTTAGTTCCAAGACAAGAGTAGACCATCAAAAACATTTGTTAAAAATTGGTTACATATTTTGTAAAATGCTGATGACACAAATGTGATTGACATAGACATTCCCTGCATTTACATTATCCACCTTCAACTCTAAATTGCAACACTATAAATACCATCATTTATTTTAATAAAATTATTTACCATTCTTGCAACTAACCACAAAATGTGGAAATGATTTTGAATGGAAATGTATACATTTTTAAGTACTGTTCAATGATGCATCTAAATGCTTTTATTGATGTAACCAATGCAGGTTGTGGTAAATCATTTTGTATCATGAGTGTTTAATGTTGCTAAACATATTTTTATACTCAAGGTATTCTGAAGAGTTAAGAAGGTGCATGTTTGCAGTGATTGATAGAAACCTGAAGTTGAATGAGTTGCAGTCACAGCTATCATGGGATGCAGAACTCCCCCCAGGACCAAAGATTATGTACTGGCTGCAATTTCAATCAACTTCACCTTTGAAAGAATCTTTGGATGCCAAAGTAACTCTCAAAAAAGATGGTGGTTGTAGTGTAATAAAGTTTGTTTCCCGATGGCAATAAACAACACTCATGCAATGTCTGTATAATATTTTATTTAAGGAAGAAACTCATCCACCAAAATCCACAAATGCTGATAACCTATATGCTGGTATAGATCACGATTCCATTCTGCTGTGATAAAAACCTGACTTCACCATGTTTTTAGTGTATCCCCATATTTCTCTGTTTATTAACATTCCTGCTTTGTATGTCAGGAACAGGGTAGTTGTGATTGACATTTGCCCACTGAGACAAACTGCTGCTAAGGAGTCGGTTTTGTTATTTGTCAGCCGTGTCATGCAATTCAAAGCTCTAGAGAGGTATAGTGCAGGCACAATGCTTGAGGGCAGAGTTGTTAGGATTGTACAGGCTGAGTGTTAAGGGATAGGGACTGTGCTGTGTTCACTTTTTTCTAGAATGTTAAATGACATGCCTGTCACACATGAGACACATCATGTGAGTGCATCATGTCACATTCTATTTTCTGTAGCCTATAAGCAGCGGGTAGCTGGAAGAAACAAACTCCTTAATATTTTGGATGTGGACATCTCCTGCATCCCTATACACAGACCCCATTGCACAATATACTGTAGATTGAATTATGCACAGTGCACAACATTTGGAACTGTCATGCATGCTGAAATATTTTCTATCAGAAATGGTTTAAAAATTGAAAAGAAAATGTCATATTTGGCAACTAGTAATTATTATTTCTGCAATTTCTGCAATTTATATAATGTGTTTTTGAAACAGGAATCATCTACCTTGTGAAAAAACCTCAAATGCTCATATTTGTTAGTATTCCAACTCGTGGAGTCCTGTAGCTCAGTGGTTAGAGCACTCGCTTTGCAAGTGAGAGACCTGAGTTCAATTCCAGGCAGAGCAAAACCTCGGGCAAGTTTCCTTACTCCACACGCCTAATAATAATCCCTCCAAAAACCCCAAAAACAACAATAAATTGGTCATTTTCAATCCATGACTGTTTGTGGGACATTGCTGTGCGCAATTGGCTGCCGCGTTCGCCCACAAACATACAGTCAATTCACTTTACAGTATATTCTGTGAAGCGCTTTGGGACGTCCTCCCGACGTGAAAAGCGCTATATCAAATGCAAGGATTATTTTTATGAACATCTGGAACAATAGAACGACAGGACAGATCTATGTAAATGTATCAAAGTGTTTTTTTCCCTGTTTACCATATCTTTGAGTCTATTATAAAGAGCTTTGCAACCGCAGTGATATAAAGAAAATGAAATCATAAAATAACATAGTATATGATTATATAGCTTTTAAACTAATTTATTTTTCAAGCTTTTCCTGCAAACATCTAAATTCGATTTACAATACCAGCACACCAATTTCTGAGAAAACCTTACCTGAAATGATACATGTCAAACCTACAAGTAAAGGCATGAAAGATAGTAAAATATAGCAAGGTAGTCTATCGTATTTAGAGCCATTTGCTCTACAAACTTTGTTACTGCGGATTGCAATATTTCAGGAATTACATTAATAAACAGGATAAGGTCTAATTGTAGATTTTTTTTATCTTTATGGGAGGATTCTACATTTCAATATTGCACTTAAAAAAGTATATCCTGGGGTCATTTTTTCTAGATTTCTTGATTAAGAAATCGAGTGGAGATTCTGTCCAGATGTAGGTCACGTGTTATTCCAACTCAAAGTAACTCCTCTCTGAAAACAGATCAAATAGGCGTGTTCCTACCAGTTATGATAGTGAAATTGCATTAAGAAATGCTGAAAAATCGCCTCTCCACACACACACACACTAGTCGGGACAATTGCATTGTCAGAGGTGCTGTACTTTGGATAACACATTGAGCTGAGTTGCCTATCTGCTCTACAAGTTGGATGGTAAAAATACCATGGCACTGTCTGAAAAGAAAATTAAGTTTCTCCCAGTATAATGGCCAAAAATCCTCCAAATAAATTGGTTATTTACATTAAGGCTACTTGGAATTATCTACAACAATTCATTACATGTGACAATAATTACTATACAGCACTTTGCAATGTTTCAACTTGATGAAGTCCCATAAAATGCATATTTTTCACTTCAGAGTTAGGTACTCCTGATGTGAAATACAAATGTAATTTGTTGTAATCTGAATGGTGAGAAAGGATGGTGACAAGCAGCAGCGCTGGTGAATGCTTGGTAGCTGGCACCTATTTTCATACTAGACTTTATTTTCCCCATTGATTTGACTCCCTCCTTTCTTCAAGAGATAACTGCACTCTCTTTTGTCAAGATGTTCTGAAAAACACACAGCCTCTTTATCACTGCCACATTTTCCAAAGACAAGAAACCTATCTTCCTGTCAGTAAGTTACATTTGCTTGGTTCCTTTGGGAGAGAGACCAGGCTTACCATTAGTTCAGCCAGTAGCAAAATACTCAAACTGGAACCTTACAGTTTTCTAATGTACACAAGAGAGCTCTGCTGCCCCCCACCCCCCCAAAAAAAATCCCAATTCATGGGGAGAAAGAGCTGATAATCCCCAAAGGTAAGTAAAAACAGAATATACTCAGCTAGTTTTTGTAACATTACCATGCAAACAGAAGATCCTGTTGTCAATTTATGATCAGTGGGAAAATGCTCTCGTTGTCTGAATTATCCTCTTGTCAGTCCCGGAGCATCAGACATACTAAATATTTACATCTGTATACAATTTACTAAAATGTTTCAAGACTTACAGCTATGACTTGTGTAAAGGGTTGGCATAGGAAACTGACTACATCTAATATTAACTCTAGATGTGGTACTTTTTGAGACTCAGGGCATATGCATAACTATATCGCATTCAGTTCGGTATGGCTCTGCAAGCTATCATCAGCACATGGGTATAGCTGAAGTATGATCAAAGGAAATTTTAGCGTGTAGAAGTTAAAGAATACAAGCTTGTCAGAATTCAACTGGCACAGATGTATCAGTGACTCAGATTGAAATCAGAACACACTTATGATTGAATAAAGAGCATAAATGAACAAAAAGAATAAATCAAAATATATTACACTGACAAAAGTCAGTCATTATTGTGCATCAATGGAGATCTGTGATGTCTATTGTATATTTTTAAGTTGTAATTTGTATCCCAGTAGTGATTTAACATAAATGAATTTCATATGTACAGTAATGCTTTGTGCACACTTGATTTTTTTTCTTTGCTTTAGTTTTTNGTTGCTTTTGTTATTTTTTNGTTTGCTACTTCACTCTTTTTCTTCTATTTGGTCCCCATGCCTTCTGCCATGTCTGTTTGGTCTGCATGCCTGTTTGTACCTCTCTCACCTAGTCTGTCACCAAATTATATCCTCACCCATACCAAACTCTATACTACTCTTCTGCAACAAAGACCACTGGCTCCCTATTACAGAATGGATCAATTTCAACATACTCACATTCATGTACAAATTACTTCATGTCCACCCTACCTTTCTGACCTGCTTACAACCCACTCCAATACCCGCCATCTCCAATCAGCTGGCTCTGGCGTGCTGCGCATCCATCATGCTT